TGTCAAACACCCCATTTGTCAGACACCCTATTTGTCAGACACCCCATTTGTCAGACACCCCATTTGTCAGACACCCCATTTGTCAGACACCCTATTTGTCAGACACCCCATTTGTCAGACACCCCATTTGTCAGACACCCCATTTGCCAGACAGTTCAACAAAACAACTTTTATGGTTGAGGGCACACCAGGTGTGTGATATATTCCCTTAAATCCTAATTGACTAGTCCTGTCGTCAACAACTGTGTGACAACTGGTACAAAATGATTACAAATCAGTGTTTATTCTGGATTTATTATTGCTTTATACCTTGGAATATATGGCTCATTTAAAGGAGGATTACATTATATACATTAAGTAGAATACATGTACATAACATCAATCATTATGAATATAGTAATATTTACTTTCACTTCAATGTCAATCAATGTCAATCTACTGTCAGTAATTCAAGCCAGAGTTTGATTGAAACCTGCTGCATCCAGGAATTGCATTGGGGTCTTCACTCTCTGACGCATTTGTTCCTTCAGGCGGAGGAGGCGCCGCTCTCTTTCAGTGCTGGTGCTCTTGATTCTTGGAGGCGCTGCACCGATGTCAATCTCGAAAAGCTTGGCTCTGCTTCTTCATGACTTCATGACTTCAATCAGACGATAGATGGGATGTCGATGAGCAGAGTGAGTGAGTGAGATGGATTTAACGCCGCTTTTAACAGTATTCCAGTTATATCGCGGCGTGCCAGCTTAATGTGGGAGGAAAGCCCGAAGTGATGCAGGTCTCAGACGTTTACGCTTCGGTGAAACCCAAGAGCATGGGTATGGTGCTGACAAACCTAGAAACACAATCGGGGAGAACCGGGATTCGAACCCACAGTCATAGGTTTCTGGTGTGCCCAAGGGACGCAACTCTGCACAGGGAATCGCGGCGCCTTAGACGACTGGGCCACCCGTGCCCCCTCGGTGAGTAGAGGTGTGTGTGGCAGTTACACACTATTCCACTCTCTGACAACTGGGTGTCTGACAAAGGGGAGGACCCCGTACAGAACAGTTGTTCTTGTATGGCTGTGCGTTGTTATTGCTTCCGGTGCCATCATGAAACAGATACCACTACTAAATCACGATGGTTATTTTACGACAGTTTATGAATGGATCAATTCAAAAGCTAGATCCGATAACTTTTGATCCTTGATTGGATTGTTAATAGTTTTAAAATTCCTTTTCATAAGGTACCAGATCCATTTAATATTCCAAACCGTCTTTTTTTTTTATCGAAAACAAGTGTTGTTTATTGACACCGAAATACAGTCGTTGTAAAAGCTAGGTGTCATTGAACCTGTCGTTTGCAAACCATGGTGTGTGTCACTGTGGGGTATTGTGCTGAAGACAGGATAACAATTAATACTGATTACAATTCTACGTGATGTGAATATATATATATATAACGCCATGATATGAATATAACTTAATCCCAACTCACTCACTCACTGACCAAAGATGTGGAAGGCCCGTCAAAATTGCCATGTTTGCAGTGCAGCCAGCCGGGTACCCACACACGGGTATTCACCGCCATGAAGGTTGGGAAGCAGAACACATGTCTACGTACAAGCCACTGTGTGATGGAATGGAAAACTGCAAGGTTTACACTGGACCAACTTTAATGTTTTGCATGGACGCCACGACTGTACATGTTCACATTGGGAGCACATGGCAATCCCAAAGGTAAAACTATCCACTGATAAAATTTACCTTTCAATTGGATGCCTAAATATTTCTGCAATTCTGGATAAATCAACACGTGGTGGAAAACATTCTTAAAATCAGCAGACACAAATTGTCACCAGGTTTCACCAGGTGTAATGCAGTGACAGTGTTTCATATATAAACTTTGGTGCAGCACAATATATATATTAAGAATCTTTTCCACCACGTGTTGATTTATCCAGAATATCCCTGCAAAACATTGAAGTTGGTCCAGTGTAAACCTTGCAGTTTTGCATTCCATCACCCACTGGCTTGTACGTTGACATGTGTTCTGCTTCCCAACCTTCATGGCGGTTTGGTGTTCACCCGTGTGTAGGTGCCCCGCTTGCTGCACAGCATACATGGCAATTTTGACGGGTCTTCCACTTGTTTGGTCAGTGAGTGAGTGAATTGGGATTAAGTTATATTTATATCATGGCGTGTCAGCGTATTGTGGGAAGCGGAGGTTGTAGACGTTTGTGGAGAATACCACAAAATATGTATCGTATATTTTTGATGACATGTTTCTCGCATCGACTCAACTAACCAAAACTGATAGTAAAATCAGAAAATGTTACCAATAAATGTCGGATAGTCAAACCAGAGCAGTAGCGAACACAAACTGACTTGATATTTATTGCCGAATAAAATGTTTATCTCATCGAGTGACCTCAAAAGTTGATAGTATTTACCCTGTGGCGTGTTTATCTCATCGAGTAACCTACAGACAAAGTTGATAGTATTTACCCTGTGGCGTGTTTATCTCATCGAGTAACCTACAGACAAAGTTGATAGTATTTACCCTGTGGCGTGTTTATCTCATCGAGTAACCTGCTGACAAAGCTGATAGTATTTACCCTGTGGCGTGTTTATCTCATCGAGTAACCTGCAGACAAAGTTGATAGTATTTACCCTGTGGCGTGTTTATCTCATCGAGTAACCTGCAGACAAAGCTGATAGTATTTACCCTGTGGCGTGTTTATCTCATCGAGTAACCTGCAGACAAAGCTGATAGTATTTACCCTGTGGCGTGTTTATCTCATCGAGTAACCTGCAGACAAAGTTGATAGTATTTACCCTGTGGCGTGTTTATCTCATCGAGTAACCTGCAGACAAAGTTGATAGTATTTACCATGTGGCGTGTTTATCTCATCGAGTAACCTGCAGACAAAGTTGATAGTATTACCCTGTGGCGTGTTTATCTCATCGAGTAACCTGCAGACAAAGTTGATAGTATCACCCTGTGGCGTGTTTATCTCATCGAGTAACCTGCAGACAAAGTTGGTAGTATTACCCTGTGGCGTGTTTATCTCATCGAGTAACCTGCAGACAAAGTTGATAGTATTACCCTGTGGCGTGTTTATCTCATCGAGTAACCTGCAGACAAAGTTGATAGTATTACCCTGTGGCGTGTTTATCTCATCGAGTAACCTGCAGACAAAGTTGATAGTATTTACCCTGTGGCGTGTTTATCTCATCGAGTAACCTGCAGACAAAGTTGATAGTATTACCCTGCGGCTTGTATATCTCATCGAGTAACCTGCAGACAAAGTTGATAGTATTACCCTGTGGCGTGTTTATCTCATCGAGTAACCTGCAGACAAAGTTGATAGTATTACCCTCTGGCGTGTTTATCTCATCGAGTAACCTGCAGACAAAGTTGATAGTATTTACCCTGTGGCGTGTTTATCTCATCGAGTAACCTACAGACAAAGTTGATAGTATTTACCCTGTGGCGTGTTTATCTCATCGAGTAACCTGCAGACAAAGTTGATAGTATTTACCCTGTGGCGTGTTTATCTCATCGGGCATGTTATGCTCCATGTGGTAGAGGTGAAGGACGACCGTGAGGTCAAGGTCACAATGGCACTCCTGACATTTTCGCTAGGCAAGAAAGCTATGCAACAGCTGGTACAGAATTCCTGTGTTTTTTAACTGTGCGTGGTTATCCCATCGAGTTTGTAAACCATGTGTTGATTTATCCGGAATTCCACAAATATTTAGGCATCCAATGGAAAGGTAAATTGTATCAGTGGATAGTTTTACCTTTGGGATTGCCATTTGATCCCAAATGTGAACATGCCATGTCAAGTTTTAGTTCAGATAAAACTGCTCTTGTGAAACCCAGTACATCTGCATCAAGGAAGAAATCATAAGCTGTGTCTGGTTGTTTTTTAGACTAAAATCTAGTCTCTGAAATGAACATATCGTACATAAAAAAACAGTTGTTCAGTTATCTTAATAAAAATATAATAAAAAGGAGCCCAGTGACTCTCTTCATTTTCAGATACTGCAGTGATCTAGACTTGCCAAACATTATAGACTTGCATGGGCTGTATTTGAGATATATTTGTATCAGGGTCTGTAAGACAGCCTAGTTGTTTTTGTGTGGACTTGTTTACCAAGTGGCCAAGTAATCCTGGCCTTGATAAACAGCGTTTGAAACTTATTGCGATATTGACCTTTTGCGCATTTAAGGCTCTCTGATGTTGCCAAAGTGTGGAAACTAACTCTAAAAACGCGCACGTCTTGATCACATTTCCTCCAAACCTGACGCGAATTCTGGTTTGCTGGCGCCGTTTCATCTCATTCTGGCCATCAAGGGGGGGGGGGGGTTTCCTTGTCGGTGTGGACGGAAGGACTGGTAAATCAGCTTTCGGTCATCTACTCTGCTCGCAACTATAAGATTCGTACAGTGAGTGAGTGAGTGACTAGGTTTTACGCCGCTTTTAGCAATATTCCAGCAATATCACGGCGGGGGACACCAGAAATGGGCTTCACACATTGTACCCATGTCGGGAATCGAACCCGGGTCTTCGGCGTGACGGGCGAACGCTTTAACCACTAGGCTACCCGACCGCCCCAAGATTCGTACAGAATTTGTGCACGGAGTAGAGCTCATATTTTGACATCCGTGATTTATATACGGAATCATTTCATTATTTGACTGAAACGAAAAACACTTTACTTTTCACAGCAGGGCGGGCGTATGTATTCACATGTGATGGGGGAACGCAATGCATGCACACCCGTGGTGTATTCACGTTGATCGTGTTCAGTATTCATACCTGTTCTATATTAGTTCATACAGACTGAACCGTCTTGTGGTCTAGTGGATGAAGGTCGGTGTTTCGATCCCAGGCCGCGTCATACTTATAGCCCGGACTAGTACAAGCAGACACACACACGTGCATGCACTAATCTTAAACGCGACGAAATGACACTCCATTTCACCTCGCCATACAGACTGAATGTAGAACAACTGAATATTCGTCAAAAGTAGTCTTGACTACTTCCATAATGTTCATTTAATACAAAGCACAATGGTTATAAACACTGAATATATAATATTCAGATAACCAAGAGTTACAGATTGATTTGGATTTTTAGAAATACATAAATAAATTATTATTTCTTAAAGTCATTTGCCTAAACTCAGATACTCATCTCAGCGAATTTTATATCATTTATTTTTAAGGAATGAGATAGATTTTTAAGATCAGGAATCGTTTTCACAGGTTTATAACCTAGAAGAGTATAAACCTTTCCACATTTGGCATCTATAGCCTGAGCTGCCCGTAGTCCTATACTCGTCCGCCATTTATTGGCCGCAACTGACGCATTTGACTTGACCAAACAGGTCACACAATTTGAGTCCTTCTTACCGGACAACGTCCTGTCGTAGACGAATTGACGCGCTTCCTTCGTGAACGTCAAGTCTACAAACTGATACAAATCCTCTGCTATATGTAATGGATGTTCGGCCATAGTTTCGTATCTCACTAACTTTATCCGCCCTGGATATGTCCGAGCTAGGTTGGCTGTGGTACCTAAGTCCTCGTGTATTCTTGCACAAAACATTTCTGCATATTTTTGTAAGTTGCTCCATTGGAAATACTTTAACCTCACATATTGTGATAAAATTGATGCTCTAGGATCGCGAACTAGATGTATTATTTTCAAATCCGGGTACTTCTGCATTAGTGGAGATACCAGTCTTAAAGGCAAACGAACTACTTTCTGTGAATTAATCCGCCTTGATCGACAGAGATCTTTGAGATCAGGTAAACAGGCAACAATTCCGTTCACGCCAGGATTCCGTTGAGTACACTTGAAATATGCTTTAGTTGTTTTGCTTTCCTGCATGTGGAATTGCGTAAGGGTGTCAAGATCGATATTTTCAAAGGAGCAGTTCCATATTTCCTCAACAGTTTTAATTGCATTCTTTTCAAAATTGTTGTTGTTCTTGAAGAGTCTGAAACAAGAAGCATGGACGTAATTAATGTTTGTTTATTTGTTGATGAACGTGGCACACAGCAATATTCCAGCTATATGACGGCGGTCTGTAAATAAACGAGTCTGGACCAGACAATCCAGTGGTTGACACCATGCGCATCGATCCACGCAATTGGGATACGATGACATGCATCAACCAAGTCCAATCCCGTTAGACGCCTCTCACGACATGGGTTGCTGGAGACCGATTCTAACCCTGATCTTCATGGGGAGGTAGCGTTGGTGAATGATATGTTGATAGAAAATTGAAAAATGAAGCCAGCTTTAATTAGATACATATAAGTTCACCCATTCTGTGGAGGTGGTATACAGTTAAGAGGGATTTGATGGACAGTTGAAAGAGGAGAATCCAACATGTCATGTATATACCATGTATATAGTCTGTCTTACAGACCCTGATACAAATATATATCAAATACAGCCCATGCAAGTCTATAATGTTTGGCAAGTCTAGATCACTGCAGTATCTGAAAATGAAGAGAGTCACTGGGCTTCTTTTTATTATATTTTTATTAAGATAACTGAACAACTGTTTTTTTATGTACGATATGTTCATTTCAGAGACTAGATTTTAGTCTAACCATGTATATTGAAGCAGTTGTTATCCATAAGATTCCCTGTCATATTTATATCAATCTTCTACATGCCTATGAAGACACTGAAAGTAGGTCCACGTTTGCACAGTATCATATTCCAGAGGCAAGGGTGTTAACTAAACATAAAAGTCCATTTTAAATTTTGGCTGGACTAACGAGTCTATGCATAGTCAAATCAAAATCGCGTAACGAAATTGACATCAGGTTCCTAAACTGACGTGCAGATTTCGGTCGATTGCAGGATTTACAAAGCAATCAAACTGTTAATTTAGTCTTAACATATACGTTCCAAATCTTTTCAAGTTTTTAATCAAGGTGCTCACGTGTTTCGATGCACTTCGCGAAATAAGACCCGTTGTATTACAATAAAGCATGATCATAGATCAGATCGTCTTTACTGTGTGCCGCCATTTTCTTTCAAGCAAGTGATATGAGAGGTGGAATCTGATTGGTCAACAGGAGGAGCATAGAAGGGACATAACTCGTAATAGATACTGATGGCGCTACGATCGAGCCCATAAATTCAAGCAATTCGGCAAGGTTGGTAAATGGACTTTTACAGTCAGTTGTCTCCCTTGCCTCGGGAAGATGCAATATTATGGGAAATGCATTTTACTATGGCAATGTTATTACAATAGTTCAAATGGTACCCATGTTTTGCCCAGTGGATAAGTGCTGAATAGTGTGTTAAAAACGCTTACTCTGACTTCTGATTGAAGAATTTCAAGGGGAGTTGGGAGTGTCGCCATTTTTCATAGATCATAAGCAGAGGCTCAAATACGTAGAACACCTCGTCACTAGACTGTATTATCGCTCCTGTCAAGGTGGATCCACTGCGCAGATACGTAGATATAAGAAGTCGGGTGCGGTTCGGGTAGATCCGTGACGGCCTCGGGTCGAAGAACTCCGCTGAATAAATAAAAGGTTACTTGATTAATCATTAAATATAACTTCACTGTGTGGAGTTGCGGCCCTTACTCGTGCCAGAATCCGATGGTCGTGGATTTGAATTCGACCTGATCATTATTTGTAGTTTTTTTCTGCAGCCTTGTCCTCCAACAAAGTGGTAAAAGTCGGAGACCTGCATCACTTCGAGCTTTCCTCCCACATTAAGCTGCCACGCCGCTATATAACTGAAATTCAATTCAAAGCGTCGCAAAACCATGTCATTTAGTCTATCTCTCTGTCCTAAATTGAAATTGGATGCCATGTGAGATTTCCATGGTGTCGGTTGATGTAAATATGTATAAACTTTCGTCGAAAATGTGAGTGAGTTGAACGCCGCTTTTAACAGTATTCCAGTTATATCACGGCGTGTCAGCTTAATGTGGGAGGAAAGCCCGAAGTGATGCAGGTCTCAGACGTTTACCACTTCGGTTAAACCCAAGAGCACGGGTATGGTCCTGACCGGGATTCGAACCCACAATCATAGGTTTCAGGCGTGCCCAAGGGACGCAACTCTGCACAGGGAATCGCGGCGCCTTAGACGACTGGGCCACCCGTGCCCCCTAAATTCATAAAGAATAGTCGGTATGAACTTTTTAAAATAATATTTTTTATTTCAATTCGGTAGACATAAATTTAACATTGGTACATGTGGTACATGAAGTGTAGCAATTCATAGAATCTTAAAACATGATCAGATATTGGTATATTTGATTGACTGATAAATTACATTAAGTAGGCTGATAATTCCTTCCATTTTCTGTCGAATTTATTAATAATACTATTTTTAATTGCGATATTTTTTTCTATGTTACATACCTCTTACAATGTTTTTATGAAGAAAGGAAAGCATAATGGAGTTTTCTTAATGCATGACCGGTGAATGCATTTTTGCAAGAAGAATTATATGGTTGAAAAAATAATTTTTCTAGAATGGTAATATGAATGAATATCATATGCAAGTTTCAAGTTTAGGTGCACTTCAATTTCTAAACAAAATCCCTTTACAAGAACGCATTCTACATATACATGGTATAAGTTTTCAGATTCAGAAACACAAAAAGAGCATATATCATCCGTTAACTTCATTTTCAATCATTCCTTTTTGGTATAGAGCTCTATTTATGAATCGGTACTAGAAACACATCATTGGTACACATTTCACAATTAGTGGAAACAATTTTCCATAAAATGCTTTGATTACGTTCATTTTCCCATTTATCACACATCAGAGGAAATTTAGTTGTAGCTATAAAATTATCATAAAATATTCTGGGGCCTTCGTTCGTATCAACGAGTCTCTCAAAATGTTATTTATGTATAAATTAGCTGCGATGCCCTGAACTGACCTTGGATGCTATGTGAGATTTCCACCATTGAGAGACTTGTCGAAAACATTCATAAAGAAAACTCGGTATGAACTTACTTGTGGGGGTAAGGCGTTGGAGATTCATGACAGTTATACCCATTGTCGTCAGAGTCAATGCACACAACAACCAGAACCATCGGGACGTGTGCAGCATCTTCATCCATTGGCGAACAGACCATGGATCACGTAGTGTGGATCCTTTGTCCAGAGTCATCTGAATTACAAACATTTTTTTATTAAACTTTATAAACTCGACCCACTGACAGATTCATGACAGTTATACCCATTGTCGCCAGAGTCAACCAGAACCAGGGGCGGTCGGGTAGCCTCGTGGTTAAAGCGTTCGCTCGTCACGCCGAAGACCCGGGTTCGATTCCCGACATGGGTACAATGTGTGAAGCCCATTTCTGGTGTCCCCCGCCGTGATATTGCTGGAATATTGCTAAAAGCGGCGTAAAACCATACTCACTCACTCACTCACTCACTCAACCAGAACCATCGGGACGTGTGCAGCATCTTCATCCATTGACAAACAGACCATGGATCACGTAGTGCGGATCCTTTTATTAAACTTTATATACTCGACCCACTGACTGACATCCAGAAATAGATGCTCATAAGTCACATGATTTATCCGAAGCAAATTATACATGTCAGACGAGTTTTCAAAAGAAGTTACTACAGCGTGATTTAACGGGCAGTTTGGACAGTTTGTCCGTCCAAGGTTTTCGTCTTGAGCAGACAGTTGTTAGGCAAGGCAGACACATGCGCGTTAATGTTTGAATAACATTTTTTTGTTCACGCCTATAAACTGAAAATAATGTATGTTTTAGCCGTCGTTATTATATACTCACGCATGTTGGTTTATTCATGAAGGTGAGGTGATGTGAAATGGGGTTTAACGTCGCGTCAAAGATTATTGCACTGATATACCGACATGCATGCTCAAGTGTGTGTGTGTGTGTGTGTGTGTGCGTGCGTGCGTGTGTGTGTGTGTGTGTGGTTGCTTGTACTAGTCCTGACTGATGCCGATTTATAGTGCTAGCACACTGAGATACCATGCCGCAGTTTAACATGAATACCCCACTCAGACACAGTATACTGCCTCCGAGCCGACCAGTCCTTGTTTTAGCCCCTTAATGCCGAGCGCCAGACAGGGTAACAACAAGTACCATCTTCTAACGTCTTTTAGGTATGACGCGCCCGGGGGTCGAACACCGGACCTTCCGCTCTCCGGGCGGACGCTCTACTACTTGACCACGGAGGCGGTCTAATACATGAAGACTTACTCATATTTAAGAGATGCACAAACGAACATATTGGTATGCTGTGTGTACCGATGCTCATGATCGCATCACATATGACGTCATAGATCCATGACTCGAGATGGTCCATTTGTCTCGTGCAAAGTTTGGAAATCACGTGCAGTATATCGTGATAAGAATAAAGTCAATATGTGGTAACATTACTGATTGTTAGTTTTGTCATTAATTGGTACACATTGGAAACATCTCTTCTTAACGTCCATACTTCTCTATATGTTTCTATGGTTCAAGTGTCTTTTGGCGGTGAATATTTTTTTTAACAATATTGGTTGCATGAAGAAAGTTACATGAATCGTGAACAGATCAATGAATCGGTTGGTTTGTCAGAAGGTCAACTCATTAATATTCATGACCCTAACACCGGAAGTTGGTGTTCGGGGCATACTTCTTTCGTCGACAAAATGAATGTTTTGATATGTGAGTTGACCTTATGGGCCCACTTGCACCAAGCGGTCTTAGCTCTAAGACTATCGTAAGCCCATGTTAAAGTATTGGAGATACGATAATCTTAGCGCTAAGATCACTTTGTGCAAGTGGGCCCTGGTTCTGACTTGCGTCTTTTTGACGAAAGCGTTGGGTATACAAGCTTCTAATTTCTACAAGTAAGATGACGTGTTTGATTAAGAAACCTATATGTAGTTGGGCATGCCTGTTGGTCAGAATTAAGTAAGCGGTAATCCCTTGTACATTTGCATTTGGCTGTGTCGAAGTTGTGTGAATGTGTTTGTGATTTGAAACTTTTGATTGACCAAACGGAAGTGCCTTGCTAAACTCAGTAATAAGTGTAGGGTTCTGCAAATAAACTGAAACAATAGGTTTCGTTTAACCCTATGTTGGATTGTCCTGGCTGCGCATACCCGCAATGGAACCAGTTATGATGCTACAACCTACAATCGTAGTTCACAATATTGTTTTGTGAACTTACGTTCTTTACAATTATGATTTTTTAAGCTTAAATAAATCCAATCATTGCAGTAGTATTGTAATTGTTTGAAACACCCTCGCGATTCTATTGCCATACCACATTGATGATATCACGGACTTGTATAATGTTATATAGGTCCGTGGTGATATGTAGGTGAGGTGAGGTGCACAGAGGTTTAACGTCGCGTGCAAGGTTATTCCACATGTGTTTGTGTGGCTGCTTGTACTTGTCCGGACTAATGTCGGTTTTATGGTGGTAGCCCTCAGAGATACCAGGCCGCAGTTTTACATGTATATCCACTCTGACACAGTAGACTGATACCGAGCGCCACACAGGATAACAACAAAATACAATCGTTTAACGCGGAAGGATATCCACCGACCTTCCGCTCTCAGATCAAAATCAGATCCACGGCTGAACAATGACTTGAGGACAACTCATTTCGATCTTTCGCGAACTTTGACCGACCAATGAAATGAATATCAAAAAGTCGACATTAGCCAACCAGAAAACTGTCGATTTCCATTCCAGACTACGCTTTGAAAAATATTCTCGATTTAAAATTTGAAAAACGGAATAAAAGAACATTCTGGGCCCCGTTCCTCAAAGCGATCTTAGCACTAAGATGATTGTAAGTCCCATACTTTAACATAGGCTTACGATCATCGTAGTGCTAAGATCGCTTTGGGGAACGGGGCCCTGGAATGTATAAGAGATGGCATAGATTGTATGTCTTTTCCGTTCAAATGTTTAGCCAGTTGAAGCGAGAGGATGATTTGGACGGTTTAGATTCAGAAACATCCCGTATTAAACCTTTTCGAGGTTGCGTTATTATAAAACATGTTCCGACTGTCGCGTTTCTAATTTGGTAAGCGAAGCTCTGATTGGTCGGATGAAAGGGCGTTCTGACGTGACCTGTAATGGGATGCATGTCCTCAGTTCTTTGTTTAGCGGTTGTGAGAATTATAAGATCTGATTTTGAGATTGGGTTTGGCAGGGCGGGCTTATTCTAACAGCTAGTAGGGGTTTATACAAATAAGTCCGGCCAAGTCTTATCCTCTCGGCTGATCGACTATGGAATCCTAGAAGGGAAGGCGCTGTCGCCCTTACAAAAACAAGCAAAAAACTGTTGAGATTAACCAAAAACCGATAAATGCGACATATTTTAACTTTGTCTCTCACAATAGTATTAAAGCGCAACAATGGGGCAATGTGACAAATGGACAAACTAACGTTGTCGCTAAAGAAAAAGAAAAAGAAATTACGCCCCTCAATTAATTATATAATATATTTGATTGTCAATTAAAAATCTTATAGTAGCGATATTATATAAAAAAATAAACTATACTGGTGCTCATTCAGCACCAAAAGAATACAACCACGTGGTTTTATTTTCTATATATAATTAGATTTAAAACTTTTAAAAAGTTAAACAAATAATTCGCATAATACACAACTGCTAATTGGTATCTTAAACATCTTTGAAAATCAATAATTTGCTTTTTTCGGCACATGGTAGGGGGCATGTGGTTGCAAATTCATTTTACCTCACTTTCCATTTAACAAATTTATTTTTTCACAAATTTACCCAGTTACAGACTATTTTTTACTAACTGTTGCAGGAATGAGTGATGGTTAAATAGACATAATCAAATTTAACAACATAATTTTCATTTCCAATTACATAAGAAGACAAACTTGGTATACCTTCTTTTGCCCCTCAATTTATGATAATATTCATCACCAAAAAAAATAAAAATTGCCCCTCAATTTATGATAATATTTACACCCCCCCCCCCCCCCCCCCCCCCCCCCCCAAAAAAAAAGGAAAAAAGAAGTATTCTTTTCACTGAGGTTAAAAATACATATACAAATATATATTTACAGTCTATTTGCAATCTTGAAAGCTGGATATATGTAAATATGACATTGTACGGAGGCCGAGAGCGGACATCTCTTCCTCGCCTTCAATTACGGATGCGAGAAAGCGATAACACGAGACAAGAAAGCGATTCCCTGGGTGAAAACGGGTTCCTGGTGTTTCACACGCTGCGCAGTTTCAACGTTCATGATGACCGGGCCGACGCCCAGTTTGCCTGCTACTGCCTCGGATTTTATAATACATAACGTCTTTTTCTGTCTGCTAATTCATTTGATTAGCGAGTCCACAACTTATGTCACCTCAGTAACAACACTGAATATGCCTTCAGGCATTTATATTGTGCGGCACAGGGCTAAGGGCATCTGGTGTTTACTTCCCAATAGAGGATGTTAGTAAATAAACGCTAGTTGCCTATTGTTAACAGTTATTTTTATCATTCACAATGGCAAGATCAAAGGTCGTTTCACACATTCAACAATTTATGCAATGTTGTTACTTTTGTAGGATTAACAGAAATAGCAGAAACAATATATGTATACAACGGCTAAGAATCACAAGATAGATGAACGCGGCAAACATCATCCAATGAAAACAGTTGTGACTCCCATACAGGTTTGTTTTGGAAGCCGATTACGGAGCACTTCTACTTGGACATTTATATACTTTCTACGAATATAATGAATTTTTCTCTCTCGGAAATCAATATTATCATTTTGTGCACTTTACTTGTCATTTACGTCGGAATGAATGTCTCGGCAATACATGTTTCAATATGTTCTTTCTGTAGATCTCTAATTGATTGTAAACATTCTATAATTGAAAGTAAACATTAGCAGAGCCTGCTGCTGACCAATAAGCTCCCTTTTATTCACCCAGATCTTGTGTAATTGTGTGGGTTGGTCGGGCACGAACCTCTCTGCTTTGCGAGTTGATTCCCAAATGGCGGCTTGTCAGAAACATTGAAATTAACTTTGTATGAACAGAATAGGTCGGCGTAGACGTGAATACAGCTAGTGTACATATGCAAAGGGCGTTTGTGTCTTTGGACAAGTGCAAGAATGTGTCCACATTAGCATACGGGGATAAATCTAAGTCAGCGTTACAAATGTAATATATCTCAACTGTGTAGAAATCCAGTGGGATCAGGAAGAAATTTATGACCATGCTTCATAATGCTTTATCTTTTAGTATATACTAAACATATTTTACGACTTTTTCTGAAAGCATCCAAAGCCTTATATTAGTTAAGCGTTCAAAACCTGGCGGGTATGTGGAGGACATGTTTTTTTTCAGGTGAACAGGTGACTTGCCTTGGCATGTGTTTGTGACGGGTGCTACAAGTTGGGAAGAATACGTTCACCTTTTCGCTAACACCCGGTATCATTACTGTTTGATAGTGATTCATGAACATATACTTACAATATAGGGGGAACTGTGCAAAGGACTTTTAGCGGAGATGTATATTATGATTATGGGAGTGTTTGATCGTTTTTACTATTATGATTAAGGAAAGCGTTGTCCCTTTTACTATTACGATCAAGGAAAGCGTTTTGTCCCTTTTACTGTTATGATTAAGGGAAGCGTTTTGTCCCTTTTACTATTATGATTAAGGAAAGCGTTGTCCCTTTTACTAAGAGTAAGAAAAGCGTTTTGTCCATTTTACTATTATGATTAAGGAAAGCCTTTTGTCCCTTTTACTATAATGATAAAGGAACGCCTTTTGTCCCTTTTACTATTATGATTATGGAAAGCGTTGTCCCTTTTACTATTATGGTGAAGGAAAGCGTTTTGTCCCTTTACTATTATGATGAAGGAAAGCATTTTGTACCTTTTGCAATTATGATTATGGAAAGCGTTGTCCCTTTTACTATTATGGTGAAGGAAAGCGTTTTGTCCCTTTACTATTATGATGAAGGAAAGCGTTTTGTACCTTTTGCAATTATGATCGAGGAAAGTGTTTTATCGCTTTGATCATAATTTTTATGTTTTTCAAATCTGGCAGTAAAACCACCCCCTATTACCCACCATTCATTTCAACCGCAACCCCAAACCAGTTGTATTGCATCATCATTAATCAAGCTGCATTCATAAGGCGGAACAATATATTTTTATAAAAAATATATATACAAACTCTAGATGACGTTCTGACCGTAACTATCCTCATGTAATAACGCGGAAGTGTCATTTCGACGTTACAGTTCTTCATGATATGGTTGAGCGAGAAATCGAACATGGGTCCACGGGGTGACTAACAAGCACTTTAACCACTGGGCTACCCCTTCGCCTCGTATGGAGAGATGTGGCTGAAACAAAGGCTATGCGTCGTAAAATGCTCTCTTCATGTATCGAGCAAGCAGTAGTGTCATTCACTTGTTCCAAGAGCTGCGTTAGTATGGGGCTGAGTAACAAATAGTGTTTATTCCGTTATCCGAGACAAAATATTGTTTAAGGTCATTCTCGTAGCCCGTAGGGCACGAGGAACCAGTCGTCGAGGGCGTTGCAATTGAGGCGTACAAGGATGTGGGATCCTTATATCCTGAGCTCGAGACGAATCCGCCCTGATTGCGATACTTGGACTGTCAGCATCATATCTTTTCTCATGTGTTTTACCATCTTCCCAGGCAAGAGAGTTAACTGAACTAGGCTGGAATTCCTGGGCTCGGTCGTAGCGCCACCAGTGGCTATTACGAGTTATGTCCCTTCTAAGCCTCTCCTATGGACCAAACAAATTCCACCTCTCGTATCACTTGCATTTGCCTCAAACAAAATGGCGGCGCCCAGGCAGGACGATCTGTTCGATAATCAAGATCTATAGTGATAAAACGGGTCGCGAAATATATCAAACCACGTGCGCATTTTTATTAAAAACATGAAAAGATTTGGAAAATATCTGTTGACAATGAGTTGACGGTGCACATGCTCTGCAAATCCTGCAATCGACCGAAATCTGCATGACAGTTTACGAACCGGATTTCGATTTCGTTGCGCGGTTTTTATTGGACTATGCATAGACTCGTTAGTCCAACCAAAATATAACTCCCTAATATCAGCCTAGTTCGGCAAGGGTGGCAACTGAACTTTTATAGTCAGTTGACACCCTTGCCTAGGGAAGATGACATTGAGGGCACCAAAGGTTACCAATGGATTTAGTTGGTTGTTACCTTGAAGTATATGTTTATACAAATTCTGTGAGAGGCGGGTGCTACTCGCTGGGCTTAGCCTCTTCGCGAACACCTGGTGTCATTACTGATTTTCAGTGATACATTCATATACTTTTGACAGCTAGTTTGTCGTTTTATGGATGTGTCGTCGGATAATCGAGACTGGGTATTCTCTGGTTTTACATTTACCCTATCCTTCTGCCGGTAGACTAAAGTCAAAATTCCTCACAAACTCAGTAGCATTTATGAATTATGCAGAATCAACTTCAAAAGACATGTTTAGGCCAGGAGATTACAACAGCCCCGCCCCTCCCCCAGCACCCCTCCTTGCCATACGGAAGTTTTCAGTTATGGTGTTAGTTTTGCAAGAACAAGTTGATATTTTTATAGAGATCCTAGTAGATTATGACATCTGCCAAACGTCACAACTGTCATACGCTGCCTGTTCACTGCCAACATCAGCGAGTGTAACTGCGGACACAGCCTTACCGACGTAACATTCTCGACGATCTTATCATGCTAATTACTATAACCTGTAGTTCATTCCCATCTGGAGTTGCATACTAATAATTGCCATTACATAAGACCAGATGAAACTCCATGTTAAGTAATAATCAATCATGTAGTAATGCTACCAACATGTACTAGCGATTATGAAAATAAAATCGACAAATCGGGGTTCTCGGCGTAAATCCAGGGAGATTTCGCCTGTTAGGGCCTGCAGTGAGGTAAGCGAGGTGCTCTGTTGTATGCGAGTGGTTATCTAAAGTGCTTGGATTGAGTTTAGGTTATCGTTCAGTGTTGTATTTAAGGTATTGTATATTGGGCATCCATAGTCTATTTTTGATCTAATGTGTATAATGATAGTAGGGTCTCCTTGTAGACCACACAGCTAGAACCTGTCAGGCAGCGTAGTGTAAGTAGGTCTTTACTGCATCTATTTTATTAGGTTTTTGATGTGAGTACCCCCGGTTAGATGTTCATCAACGATTAGTCCTAGAAATTTGGTCTGTTTTTTTTAAATTTATAGGATTATTTTTTAGTTTGGGGGTGTTTGCGCGTATATTTTTGTGTTTGAAAACTATCCCTGTGTTTTTTTCGGAATTTAGTGAGAAACCTCATTTATTTGCCCATATTTGTATTTTGTTTTTGCCTTCGGCAATAATATTTGTGCCATATTTATGCTTCTAGTGCGGATAGCGTTTGGTCGATTCCCACGGCTATTTTGCAATTTTTTAGGAAGTCTTGAATATAGTTTATTATTAGGCCTTTGAGTCCTGCGTTCTGGAGTTTTTGTATTAGTCCGTTATGCCATACCATATCGGAAGGTTTAGAGAAATCTAGAAATATGCCTACTGTATATTGTTTAGAAAGATAACGTGATAATTACCGATGGTAGAGTTCTCCTTGGCTGGCTAACAGGCGATGCTCCGTGGTGGCTTGGGAGGTGTTGCTCGTATGGAGTACAGTCTGCGTCTCAGTGGCAAGATACTCGAGTCCACTGTTGAAAGCATGTCAATACCCACCCGTCTGTCCAGTTTGGAATCGTTAACAATGCCTTACCACATGTTGGTCAAATTATGCAAGCTTTGAAAAGATGAGCGTATCCGGCCCCACCGGTGGCACTGAGTGGAATAAATGGGGTGTCCACACTGTGCCGGCAGCTATTGTTAAGGGGGATTTAGAAAATTTACCGTGCTAATTTTCCAAAGGATTAATATGGGGATTATCGTGCCGGCTGGTTCTGGTTCATTGGAGAAGGAGCACTGAACACAATTTTGAACAAACACCAATAATTTTGTATATACAGTTTAAAGAAATGAAATTGACAGCATTAATACACAGTTACAATACAATTTACAACCCATTACAGTTTTTGTTCCAGAAACCAGGCACATTTTCAGACGACCAAGTTCGTGTTCAAGTTGGCGGTACTGCTTCTTTATGGGTCTTCATTACCACCCGATTGATGTTGGCTTATTGTCACTTCAGCCATGGTTTGTTCTGATTGAATTAAACTGATGAATCGGAAGATGTTGGGTTGGTTGGTTGTCATTTTGTTTATTCTTGCATGCCACCCCTCTACGTGGTTAGTGGTTCTTGGACCCAAGGTGTCGAAGTGGTTCCACATATTTCTACCCCGCACCCCCCTCTCGACCCACTTTGGCATTCGTGAACACTTTTCACCATACCTAATTAGTCCCTGGCTGGTGTCGGCAGTTCAGCTCAGCATGACGACTACCGGTAATCCGAAGCATCTTTATTAATCTTAATTAATACGAATTTATCGACACAATATGAACAAACCGGAATGGATAGGTCCAACTGACTAACAAATGGTTTCACATGTCACCATAGAAATTCCGTTTATAGAGATTTAATAGAACTATTTTAACTTCACGTCGCAATAGTCGGAAAGAAGAAAACAAATAAATGAAACGAATATTCATCTCAAGCACATGTTTAAGCATCCTATCTTTTGAAAAGATAGTTATGGTGTAAGAATACTCACAGCTGGTTTAGTAAACAATAAAACCATACAGTTTTTAATATCTCAAAGAACGATAACTAAAACTGCATTTGTAAAATGATTGTTTTCCTTCACTTAGGTGCCTCAGGAGGGATTATTGAAACATACACGTATTAACATATAGGTTATTTGATTGATCTATATTGACGTTGATGAAGTGGAGAAAAGAGGATTACCTTAGTTGTTTTTTCTAGCGAAACAGGCCTGCATGACAAACACATCAACATCACAGGTCACGTGAGCACTGGCACTGTTTACGTACAATATCATTCGGACGACTTCTGGTCTGTTCGGGGGGTCTCGGTGCAAAGGCGTCAAGTGGGTTAACTGACCCGATTCTGTTGAGCAGACATACATATGGCCCCGTCTCAGTGTCTGGCATTTAGATGTAAATAAATGAAACCCTTCACTTCCTGATGTACTTTCAACGTTTTGGAAATCTTTAAAATCTAAAGGCATTTACAAAAGTATCAGATGTGTTTTGTATAAAATTCTCCAGTCTCTAAAACATGATATGGTGTAAGGCATATATATCCCAATCGTGAAGCTGTTGAAATTAAAACTCCACTCTGACAGCAAAACGTGAAAGCGGGGGGAATTCAGCGTTTGTATATGTCGGCTTCTTTATCAACGACGGAATCATGGATTCTGTTATTCCATCCGAGATGCACACAGCATTGCCAGTGTGTTCCGATAGCGGCATGGGCGCGTCTTGGTGTCGGTGAATGGCCACTGATCGCTCGCGGACGCATGGTTTAGATTTGCCATGTGTATGATTTTACAATGATACCGTATTTATTCTGAACTACGTCCATTATGTCAACAATCGTGCATTGTTGGATGCTATGAACACGGTTTTTACATTCAGAGTGACTGAGTTAAATATACGTGTAATTAGCAAACACACATGTTTACATTGTACCTAGTACGTTAATGGGGAAATGGTTGCTTTCACTCCCGTTTTGCAAACATTGCAACATATGAATAGACTTGTACTAAATGAAACGTGTAAACGAGCATGGGTCAATTAATTTTGTTCTTTAGGGTGTCTGGGTTGCCGAACTAGGCTTGTATTATGGAGTAACATTTTGGCTGGACTAACGAGTCTATGCATAGTCCAATCAAAATCGCGCAACGAAATCAAAATCCGGTTCGTAAACCGTCGTGCAGATTTCGGTCGATTGCAGGATTTGCAAAGCATGTGCACTGCCAACTCGTTGTCAGCAGATCTTTTCCAAATCTTTTCATGTTTTTTTTATCAAGGTGCTCGCGTGATTTAATGCACTTTGCGATGTAAGGCCCGTTTTATCACAATATAGATCCTGATGATCGATCAGATCGTCTTGACTGGGCGCCGCCACTTTGTTTGAAGCAAATGCAAGTGAAACGAGAGGTGGAATCTGATTGGTCCATAGGTGAGGCATAGAAGGGGCATAACTCGCAATAGCCACTGTTTGCGCTACGATCGACACAAAGACACACTCTCGGGATAGTGCTGGAATAGCGCAAGGATATTGCTGAAAGTGGCACAAGAATGATACTAGCTTCTATGTATTACACTGCGTTAATTACGTTTTTCACAGATGTTTCCGCAATACAAATAACAGTTATCGTTGATATATTCCACACGAATAGGGAGTGAAAAGGGGCACAATCTTTTGAACGTCTTTTGGGTTTGATGTTAAACACATTTTATCGCACCTTTTTCTTCTTTTGAAAAGTAGACCTATTAATTTCTCGGGCGCATTTACCGGTGGATATACGCTTGCCTCAGGCATGGGAACACTTCACTCTTATTTCCGACAGAGAGCTGCAGGACAAGCCCTGTCAAAATACCCCTCCCCTGAAAACGCCGTGGGAACGTCTTGGCTACTGGTAACAATTGAATTAATAGTTCGCTCTGTTGTAGTTTTAGACGGGAACATATTAAGAATTTCTTAATATTTGTTCAGAAGAATAAGAAGCATTTTGTCCCTATTGCAAACGCATTGTCCTTGCATGTCATGTATTTGAGTATATGGTATAAAAAAGATCATACAGTGATATATACACATGTATTAAGTTCCGTAATATTCTTTTATAATGTAGAACTATTCTAAAGAACATACATTTCTGCAAAATATTTTACACTGAACGATTTACTGTTAATCCTGCTGAAATTCGTTCCTCACAAAAAAAAAAAATTTACAGTTCAATGTGCAAGTAGTGTATTGTTAACCAAATGACATCATTCAGTGATTAGTTTAAACATAGTTTATTCTCATGAAAAGGATTGGGCACAAGGTATCATAACTTAGAACGCCCTCTCCCATTCATTGAGCCATATAACGTAATTATCATCAAGGGATTTACGGCGCTGAAACCGAAATGTCAGCACTTTGTAAATAACAACAACCCTCATGAAAACAACAGAACAAATGTACTAGCGTATCAGATTGTAACTTTGAATTAAACCCTGTCCGTATGTTAACAGCAAAGAAATATGATATAATATTGCGGTGAAATACATACCCATTATGCATAATGAAAGTATGTCCTTCAGTACTGTAGTAGATCCATTCGGTGAGAATAAGTAACACTCGCATCTACATGGGAAAGCGTACCATCTGTGTCCTGGTAGATCCTCTCCGTCTAATAACTAACACTCGCATCCACAGGCGAGATAGTAAACTCGCCGCTTTATGTTCTGAATGACAACAGCCCACACACTGATAAGAATCTGCGTAGGGCGTATGGTAATGTTGGAATGCTAGTGGGAATAATTCTCCTCGTCGCTGATTATGCTGTGGACGGTGTAGTAAATTGGTTTTATTTCCTCATTAGGCCCCACTTAAACCCTCATTAATGATGTGTTTCAAATATTGGCTGCTGATGATATTTAATGCTAAAGAACACCATACAGTAAACTACGGTTATAACGAACTCAAAGGGACCGCTAATTTTAGTTCTTTATAACCGCAGTTCGTTATAAGCATGTTCGTTATAAACGTATTTTACTATATATGAATGAGGTGGTGTTGTGCGTGTTTTAATGCTTGAATTTATTACATTTGTTTGTTGTTGTTTAACGCAGCAATATTCCTACTATACTACTGCGGCCTCCCAACAATCTTGTCCAGACAAGATAAACCAAAGACGTCATCCCGAGGTCACCTTTGATTCATGTGAGATCGCCCGCGTCTCAAGCGAGTTCTTTAAAGTAGGGTAAGAATAGCGTAGATTCAGATGACGTAGAGCAACTTGTGCGTTCCAACATTTATTACAGGAGCAGAGTCAATACACTATTAGTTGATAAGTTTACAGTGATTGCAATACATACATTACTACAGATATTAATAATCATAAATAATTACATCAGTTTAAGTTAAAGATAATTCGGATTAGCCGACACCGACAGGCAGTAATTAGCTCACATTTTGCAAACAATCCTGATGTTAACCTTTTTGTGAGATGGCCATCAACCATCCCTCTCCTCAGACCTTGTGATATAGATGACTATTGGTTCCATGCCCTTGAATCAGCCAACACCGAAGATCCTGTCATCCAGAAATTTGCTGATTATGGGACTGAGTGGGGGTCGAGGGGGGAGGATACAAATATGTGGAACCATTTTGACAGCTTGGGTCCAGGAACCACTAACCACGTAGAGGGGTGGCATGCAAGAATAAACAAAATGACAACCAACCACCCCAACATCTTCCGATTCATCAGTTTAATTCAATCAGAACAAACCATGACTGAAGTGACAATAAGCCAACTTCAATCGGGTGGTAATGAAGACCCATAAAGAAGCAGTACCGCCAACTTGAACACGGACTTGGTCGTCTGAAAATGTGCCTGGTTTCTAGAGTACCCTAAACAATAGCTGCCGGCACAGGGTGAACAACCTGCTAATTTCTCATGGTATAGTCGGAATAGTATACTTGAGCCTTCCTGCTTTTGGCAGACATTTCCTAAGAATATGGAAAGGGTTTTGTTGCTTTTACTTCCACCGGTTTTAGCAATATTCCAGTAATATCACCGTGGGCTTCAAATATTGCACCTGGGTGGGGTAAAATAATACAGTTTTCAACTACTTTCTTAGTTTACATTTACCAATTTATGATCTAAATAATATTTCTACTGAAGAGTTTAACTTGTCTAAAGTATGTCTGTTATCCTTAGACCATTCTGATTGGTTACATGGGCTCTGGAACGATACGGGCCAGGTAAATGGTAATAAGTTACGTACATGTACAGATTGTTTAAAGATTCTTTATCAGTAGAACCCTATGTCAGTTTATTGATGAACAGATATCAGCGCAGTATATTAAGTAAGTTTCGCTGCGGCTCACTGCCATTTGAAATAGAATCGGGAAGATTCACCCGCCCCAAAACGTATGTGTAAATTCTGTAATTGCAATTCTGTTGAGGATGAAATACACTTTTCTGCTGAATGTTCTCTCTACACAGATTTACGCTATGATTTATAGAATTTATTGGAACTCCAAACTTTATACAGATGTCCGCTGCCGATCAGACCGTGTTCTTTATGCGGAACAATAGGGTGGTTAGACCCCTAGCCGCGCTTCTTCATCACATGTATCAGCGAAGACAACTGTGTCTTTCGTCTCTACCAACTTAGTTCAATGTATTTTATTTCTTAGTATCAGAATGTTCTCCTTTCAACTTTTGACCTTGCACTGGTGATAACTCATATTTATGTATATTTATGTACTGTGATATTTCTCATTTTTACTCATATGTAAGTGACGTCCTGCGTGTCTCGTAGACCATAAGGGCTGGACACTGTACACACTATTTGTGTATTTTTATTGTCATTGTTGTACAGTGTGTGACACGTAAATAAAATAATTTTCTTCTTCTTCTTCTTCTTCTTCTTCTTCTTCTTCTTCTTCTTCTTCTTCTTCGGTATCGAACCTGGGCCTTCGGCGTGACTAGCGAAAGCTTTAACAACAAAGCTATCCCCAACGGAAATCCTGAGGTAAAATCTCTCTATTTAAATCTCCTCACCCTTTTGTATAAACAAAACATATAATTTGGTAGTTATGATTATGAATATGTTATAATATCGAGTTATTTCGCACCCAAGCTGCTAAAAAGGCGACAATTCCTAATAAATCTTCAGTTCAGAAAAAGAACTAGCCCCAGTGATACCTGATCTTTGACTACAGTAATAACGAACACGCCTATTACGAACTTACTTTTTTGGTCCCGAATATTTGCTGTCGTTATGCTGTATATATGCTTATAACGAGCTACAGTTATAAAAAACTAAAATTAGTAGTCCCTTTGAGTTCGTTATAACCGTAGTTTACTGTATTTTCATATTAAGACGTACATGTATTAACGCGTGGCACGAATGAGTGAGTGAGTATGGGTTTACGCCGCTTTTAGCAATATCCCAGCAATATCACGGCGGGGGACACCAAAAATGGGCTTCACACATGCGGGTAATCGAACCCGAGTTTTCGGCGTAACGAGCGAACGCATTAACCATCACGCTTCCCCACCGCCCCCGAGAACAACATCGAAATGTTCAAGCAATAAATGGTGTGGTCCGTTGAAAACACAATACCAAACAAACATACAGTGATCTCAGGAAATGTATCTACAGACGTCTACGATGCCGTGATTGAATATTGGCAGAGTTGCACCCCTTACGTCTGTCGGGATCCGCTGGTCGTTGATAGTGTATATTCGTCCCGATTATGATACATTGTTTGTAAGCACCATAACCGTGCTCGTGGGCTTCACCAACGTCATTATTATTAATGCATATGACCTACTTTCTCGGCCTCCCCTATATTAAGCTGTCACTCCGTCTTATAACTGTTATATATTGTTCATGTGACGTTAAGCCAAGCTCACGCACCGAGTAGGCCATCGAGGGACCATCTCATAAACGTTATGGTTGTAGGTTTCCTTATGAGTGAGTGAGTGACTATGGTTTTACCCCGCTTTTAGCAATGTTCCAGCAATATCACGGCGGGGGACACCAGCAATGGGCTTCACACATTGTACCCATGTGGGGAATCGAACCCGGGTCTTCGATGTGACGAGTGAACACGTTAACTACTAAGCTACCCCACAGCCCCTCCTTAAGAAACTAACATGACAGTACACTGTTTACACAGCTGAAAGAATTGTCAAATCGTTGCGTAATGATTCACGTATATTTCCCCCATATATCGTATATATCCCAGATACAATTTATAACACATCGGGACTTACGGCATTAAAACATAAGATTGAATACATTTAACTGTATGTTGAGTATTTTTTTGGATGCAAGACATAATTTTTTGTAAAATAAAAACACATTCATGATGGATTCTTTGACCGAACCACTTGAAGGCATAAGCGCATTCTGATAGAAACGAGTGAGTGAGTGAATATGGTTTTACGCCGCTTTAGCAATATTCCAGCAATATCACGGCGGGGGACACCAGAAATGGGCTTCACACATTGTACCCATGTCGGGAATCGAACCCGGGTCTTCGGCGTGACGTGCGAACGCTTTAGCCACTAGGCTACTCGACCGCCCCCTGATCGAAACGAAGCACATACATATTTTACATGTACGTTGATTTCATTAACCTATACGATATAACTGCACCTCCCCCCATTGAAACATTAAGTTACATTTGAAAATTTCAGTTCAGGTATTGAACAACTCATATGCCTAGCTTGCCAATGGGGCTAACATCCTGTGTTGTTTCGATGTTTCAGCTTTACTCAATACACTGCGACAACCCAATCGTCCCGAGGCTCATAGGATGCGCCACATCAATAGTCTAGTGTTTCAAATAATAACCTGAGCTAAGTTCGTGCAGGATTTGAAGTGCAGGACGTTCATGGCCATCCCAAAGCATGGCTGGAACCATGGCCACTTTCTGTCGTCCCCCGCCAGCCGGAATATTGCTGGAATATTGCAAAACCAAACTCACTCGCTCATTGCAACCATGATCAAAATGCTGCAGAGCAATTTAAGAACAAAAGGCAGAGGCCTGGCCATAACACTGAATGGGTAACTTGCAAGTCCAACCCATGAACATCCGGGGTAGAATAGGTCTTCAGCAACCCATGCTTGTTGTAAGAGGCGACTAAGGGGATCGGGTGATCAGGCTCGCTGACTTGTCTGATGTATGTCACCATATCCCATTTGCGTACATCGATGCTCGTGTTGTCAATCACTAGATTGTCTGGTCCAGACTCGATTATTTACAGACCGCCGTCATATAGCTGGAATATTGCCGAGTGCGGCGTTAAACAACAAACTAACTGACAAACATGCACGCCCTGCAACACATCTGTCTGAACCCTGACGTGGTCGCTCATTACTCCATAGGAAAATCAGTATGTTGTATACTTTCTCCTAAACTAGATCTCAAATAATAGTCACTGTCCACAGGAACGCACTTCTGGCTAGCCAAGAAACAACAGAAACTTGTTTCCATTTGCAGTGTCAGGATTCGCTGATCTTGTTTTCGAATTACAGATTCACCTATTACTTTCACTAAATAATGCAGTGCTTTGAGCAAGCACGTGTGGTATGGAAATATCGCGCAACATACATTAATGACCTATTGTTATTATTATCATATATCCACGACGTTCCAAGTTCCATGATAACGTTGCTGTTCAAAATGGGAGGACGACACAGATTGATGTAGGAGCACATCATATCTACGCCTATTGAACGCCTAAAT